ACACACACACACACACAGATCCGTGGTGAGAAGAAACAGAAACGGTTCAAACATCCCAGGAAGTCCCTGATGAGGTTCTGCTGGATTTCCACCCAGAACCGGGTCAGAGGATCATCAGCTGAATTCATCCTGAGGAAGAAATGTTCTGATCCAGTCCGGATCCACCTAAAAATACCAACATTATTACAGAAATCATGAACTAATCCGTCGTCTTTCTTTATGTTTGTTCTGTTTGTTTTTCTCCATCTGCAGGTCGGTTCTGGGTTTATTCGTCTCTTTGTGTTTTTCTCTTAGCAGATTATTTATGTTTCACTGTTTCTGATGTTTATTTAAGTTTCCAAATTAAACTTTCAACATTTAATCATCTCCTGCAGTGGCTTTGTTTATTTTTACTGAATAAAAGTCTGAAATGTTCCTTTAAAGGTTTTAAAGCTCAAATCTGTTGATTATTATATAAAAACATTAAAATGTTCACTTAGAAAACAAACATGTAGAGAGGTACACATACAGCAGGGCTGTAAACATGTGATTCCTAAGCACTGTGACTAAACCAACCTGACCAGTGGAACCGCTCCCGGACGTCCACAGTGGTCTAGTCCAATCACAGATGGCTTTAACAACTAAAGCTACCCAATTCTCTGTTTCAGATAAATAAGTGATGCTGATGAGATTAACTGTGAAATGTGTAAAAGTGTGATGTTTAGTGAGTTGAAAATCTGTAAACAGGTGAATTTCCTTCACAAATGACCTCAATTCTCTATTTTCTGCTAAAGTTGAAAAAACTCAATTTTAAATAAGAAATCAAATTAAAATCTCAGGTGAATAAGCTTTTTCATGCAATAAGTCATTAAAAATCATGGCAGCGATGGCTGTAAACATGATATTATATTCATCAGCCATTAGAACTCATCGTCAATCAGCCAATCAGAGGAGACCAGCGTCTGAGTGTTGGAGCAAAAAGCCCCGCCCACTGGGGGCGCGGCTAGGTAGTCAGTCATTTTACAGAACAGCTACAGATTCAACACAACTTATTATGAACTGTGTGATGCTGTTCATAACTTTATATTTTATTTTATTCTGACAAACCACAAAGAAGACCACTTCCTGTCGTCTTCTTCGTGGTTTCTGGCAGGAGCAACATCCAGCTGTTGGTCATGTGACTCGCATGATGCAAAAAAACAGCTGAAGAGCGCAACAACGTTTTATAGTAAAAGGTGTTTTTCTTTCTTAAAATTTACATCTTTCCATTTAGCAAATTAATTGGTGCAATTTATGGTTAATGGAAACATGGCTGAAGAAACCAGTGAAACCAGTGCAGAACATTTGGCCCAGATTAGAGCTATTCTGTGTATTTTGATCTGTAGCAGGTTTTACATGAAAACATTATTATTATTATTATTAGTATAAAGTTCTGAGGAACAATCAGCTTCCGGAGAGAAAAACTTCCAGCTTCAAATATTTCCACTGGAACATTTTTTTATCTTTTCCTTTCCCTTCGCCCCACTTCTCTCCTCCCTCAGGATCACTTCCCTCTCTCTTTCTCTCGCTCTCTCTCTCCCACGCATTCCGCCATCATCCCTCCATCTCTCCTCCCTTTTCCAGCCGCAGAAAGTTTTCACCTCCTCCCTCTGCTCTGCGTTCTCGCCTCAAACTCTGCTTTGGTTTGGAGTTCTGACACTGCAGCAGGAAGGAAGGAAAGAAGGAAAAGAGGGAAGGGATGGAGGAAGGAAGAGAGGGAAGAAGAGAGGAGTGTCTGGAGGACAGGAAGAGCTCCAGAAACGAGGCGTTCTGTCCTGGTTTGTGAGACAGCAGCAGCTCACCTTGCAGCTCTTCAGGGACGCTGCATCAGTTTAAGGTTTCAAGGTTCTGCAGCAGAACCAGCTGGACCAGAACCAAAGTTCTGCTAGTACCAGGGAGGACCGGTCCGGATGTAGAGCGTGGTCCTGGAGGAACCAGGAGCTTATTAAACTATTTATATAATATAAACCAGCAGAAAATAAATCAAATGTTTTTACTCTAAACTTACAGACTCCCCCCCCCCTCCTTTCTATCCGCCTGGTCACATGACTCAGCTGGACCAATCAGAGATGGCGATACATTCACTCTGTTTACCACATGGAAACAAACAGAAAAACCACAGAAGAAGAGAAGTAAACATGATGAAGTCTGGTGTAAGCGGACCTCTGAGGGTCTGGACCTGATCCAGACCAGAAGATTCTACCTCTGCAGGAACCGGACCCAGTCAGATCCAACATCAGCGTCGGGTCAGAACCAGGCTGTAGGTCTAGAAAAACACCTGAACTGTTGTTTGATGATGTCTGATGGGGTCCAACAAAACCGGAGCTGTTGGGTTAATAATAGCCCAGAGTTAGCTTAGCGACAGCTGCAGCACAGCTGATCATTGATGGGTCGGGTTTCTGACCGGGCCTGGCCTGCAGGACCTTTAAAACCATCCAGAACCATTCAGAACCTCTAGAACCAGAACCACATGGTCAGTAGATGAAGGAAGCCAATAAACAGAAAACTAACAGCTAACAGCAGCGGCCTTTAGTGGAGCTGCAGCTTCTGAGCCGGTTCTGATCCGGTTCTGTTGGACCAGGAGTGGTGCGGTTAGGATGCGTTCACTGACTCAGACTATGGTGAAAAAGTCGTTCGCCTGCTGTGTGAACGTTACCATAGTAACCAAGATGCCTAACTAAAGCAGAGGACATGATAAAGCGGCCATGTTGCATAAAATCAGCATCTTTGGCCTTTACATCATGTTATCATGTTCCTTCTTTAATTCATGTTTGAGAAATCTTTTCATCTCCATGGCAACCATTCAGCTGTGCAAAACACCCAGGTGGACCCAGCCCTGCCTTCAAGGTGCAGCTCCTCCCCCTCTCAACTCCTTCAGATTAGCCAGCACCAATTAGCAACACCTGCTGAGCTCGTTATAGGAGCTGCTGCTCAGGGTTAAAAGAGGAGCCATGATGGAATGACTTCCTGGAAGCGGACCTTCAGAAGGAGCAGGAGCTTCTTGAAGAGACAGAGACCCAATTTCAAGATGTTAATTTATGAAGTCAAATTGTTTTTCAGTTGTATTTGATATAAACAGCATCTTTACAATAACCAAAGGAAACATGATTAATTCATTGTGCCATTAAACGTCGCTATGTGCCTTTACTAGCATCGTTCATGTTGTCATTCAGGGTGATGATCAGAACCAGAACCAGGGTAGCCTATCCGGGTCACCTCCAGGTTTCCAGAACAAAAACATTTGATTGATTATTAATCTGCATGAGGCAGAAAATGTTTCATACCTGGAAGACAAACGGATCCGCCACCTTTCAGGCTGAGCTAACTGATTAGCTTCATCTGGAAGCCCTGGACTGACCTGACCCAGAGATCGGGTGGTTCTGATCCACTTCTGACCTGGTTTCTGTTTCTACCCAGAAAAAAAGTCAAATATCTGAGAGAAACCTGGAGCCGTTTTAACCGTCTGACATTAAACTCCATCATTAACTAAATTAATTTATCATTTTTTACTTGAACGTAGAGAAGCTAATTAACCTAACAGGATTTGGACAGTGGAACCAGAACCAGAACAGAACCGACTCAGACTCACACCTGCAGTTTCATCAATTTATTGAAAGAAACTGATTTGGAAACATGATGTTTTGCCTGATTTTATTTTTTGTTACTAATGTAAATTATTGTCATTTTGATCGTTAAAATATCAAAATTTCCATAAACTTGATATTTTATTCTGTCAGATGATGTAATTTTAAATATTAAATGATTGATCAGTTACTTCAGTAGAATATAATAAAAGTACTGATACTCTAACCGTAGGATGATGTTTAGTAAAAACCAGAGTTATATCAGAATAATTAATCAGGTTTAACTCTCAGCCTCCCAGCAGGAACAAACGGCGTCAGGCTGCAGGTTTTATAGTTTAAAACTATTAAACTATAAAACTTCTATAAAATCCGGGTTTTAAACCGTTTCAAAGGTTTCTCAGGGGAGTTTGGATCCAATAAAATGCTTGGAGGTATTGGGGGCGGGGCCTAGCCAACGCAGTGGACCAATCAGAGCACAGCGGGCTTCATGGAGGGAAGAGGGGGGGCCACAGCTGCTCCTTTAATTTTCTCCAGGAAACTCTAAAAGTCCAGCATCAAACGGAGTTTTATTGGACCTGAAGAGCTGCGTTTAGGTTCGGAAGTTCGGAACCAACAGCAAGCAGGTTCGGCAGAACTCACTGGGACTTTCTGAGATTCCCGTCAACAAGTTCCCGATTGTTCCCAACGGGGATGGAGGGAGGAAGAGGAGGAGGAAGATGAAGGAAAGAGGAGGAGGAGGAGGAGGAGGAAGAGGAGGAGGAGGAAGAGCAGCCTGGATCTGGTTACATAATTTCTCCACAGGATCTGAAGAGAGTCTGGGCTGCTGAAAAAAAACAAGAATAAAAACTAAAATAAAAACTAAAATAAAAACTAGAAAACGGCTCAAAACCGCAAAACCTCCGTTTTTCCTGCCGCAGAATCCCAGAAAACATTTTACATGATTTCTGCTCCGTCACTGCAGGAGCCGCTCCGTCAGGACGGGAGGGAAAAGTCAAAAAGCTGCAGAGGAGCCTGGAAAACCCTGGAAAACCCTGGAACCCCTGGAACCCGGTCAGAGCAGCGGCTTCCTGAACATTCTGCTGTTTGATTCTGAGGTCAGAAAGCCGACCACGCCTGCAGCTCCACCATCATCATCATCATCATCATCATCAAACCTTCTTCATCACAGAGAAGGTCACCACAAACCGCATCCGTCCGGAGAGGACGCGCCAACCCCGCAGAACCAGAACCAGAACCAGCGGGGAGCCGCAGCTCCGTATTCCCACAGGTGATCCCATGGATGCTGCAACAACAAGCAGCAGCAGAGCCGCAGCCGCCGGATCCCCGCACACCCCGCAGGGACAGACCCCGCACCGAGGAGCGGCTGAGGCGGAGCGCGGAGAGCGGGCGGACCCTCACCTGGTGGCCGACTGAAGCGCTCTGGAGTCCGGCTGGGAGTGAAGGACGGGCGGCCTGGAGGACTGCTGGCAGCTCGGAGAGAAAACACGGCAGCAGCAGCACTGAGCTCAAATCCACCAATCCTCCTCCTCCTCCTCTTCCTCCCCCCGCCCACAGCGCGGATCAGACTGCAGCGGAAGGTGCGCTCGGTTTACACACCGCCCTGCACCGGAGAGCCTGAATCAGGTTACAGATTAAAGGTTGATTAATTCAACTCAGAAAGTGAAACTCTTTAATCCTATTGGTTCATTCCACAAATACCAACATTTAAATTATGGTTATTTTAATGATTCTGCCTCAGAACTAAAGAAAAATCAGAAAAAAATGAAGTTATGATATCAGATCAATAAAAATAGATTTTTTAACGCAGGAATGTCCAGATCAGCGTCTTCATGCCTTGGAGCAGCTGAAGGACAAACAGTTAGAAACATGAAAACGTCTCTGGAGTCAGAAC